TGCCCTGAGCTCCACACTAGCCCTGGGGGCTTATGTGGGCGCTATGACGGCATCCACCGCGATGACGCAATAACGCGCTGGATGACACGTGTCCAAGACGGGCCCCGCTGGATGACACGTGTCCGAGACGGGCCAGCCCCCCCCCCCACCGCGCCGAGGTGATGATGTCACCGCGTGTCCAAAACGGGCCCGCCCCCCTCATCATCATCACAGGCTCGCAAAGAAGCGATGCAAATAATGATAACGATAAGGGGAGGGGCAGGGAAATACGGGAAGTACCAAGATGGATAGGTCGGCAGTGAGTGATCGATGGCCTCAGACAATTTAGATACCGGCCTACTCAACAGAGATGGCAGCACCCTAGATACTGCCCGCAGGGAAACAGGGTCCATCCTCTCCCCAGAGAGCTGATCTAGGAGGAAGGACGAGACTAAGGAGGGGGGGGGGGGCCCTGGGCACACACTGAAACATCAAATTGTATTAACAGGTTAAATTCACATACAATACATCGTGTCTACATACAGTGTACAAATAGTAGTTACATACAATGCATCCAGTTCATATACAGTGTGTCATTGAAAGCATTTTTGTTTACATACAGCAAATAATACATATACAGAATATATATAAAAACGAAATTTCATTGTCTATGTACAGAAATAATTAGATGAATGGCAAAAATATATTCGATTCTATCGATCATACCCATCAAGGCAAATATGTGGAGTATGAAAAAAGGTGACCAAGGGAAAACGTTTCCCGCACCTATAAGGAATGTTATTAGTAACCCACATAGAGTTTCAAAAGGAATTTTTAAGTATCTCATGGATGGATAACGATCGATCAGTTGATAAATAACAAGGAAAAATATTTTAGAATATGTAATGGGCATTGGACATCCATGGTACGGAAACCAATGGAAGCTTGTGCATTATTTCTAATGTTTCTAAGTATCTCATGAATGAATAAATAAATAAATAATAAATAAATAAAAAATAAATAAATAATAAAATGAATGAATAACGGTCAGTCGATTGATGGACAACCAAGGGGAATGGTTAGGATAAATGATGGGTACTGGACATCCATTGTTCAAGTGTAGGAACCAGTAAAGGCTTGTACATTGTTCTTGACGGATGAAAGAAGCAAAGTCCAAAGGACATCAAGCCTTTCGCATATTTAACAGCGACCTCATAGATTGTTTATAATAAGGGAGTGCAATTAAGCCAGAGCTAGATGTTGTATATTATTTAAGAAACATATCACATTGAAGGAAGCACCATGCAGGATGTGTGTGCGTTATATTAGAGGAATATACCAGGCATGAAGCAACAGCTCCTTCCATAATAGTCCCAGTTAATCAATGTTGCTGTTTTTAACAAATAGGAGAAGCCACAGTTAAGGGGACGGCAAACCTTTCCCACCCCTTAAAACCTCCTATGTGTTACTCGAGGGGTGTATGCATTAGGACCATGTCTTAATGTAATACGTTTTATATTTATGGAGGTATGTCGTATTGGAGAGATACACCACACGAATATGTCATAGTAGGGAGGTGCCCCATATGAGATATAATAACCTTTGTGTTTATGGGGGTATGTCGTATTGAAGAGGCACGATTACATCATAATGGGGAAGTATTATATGCAAAATATATAATAAACCCTTGCCTGGTGCCCCTGTTTGGTTGGCGTTTTAAGATGATACTATGAATTGGTAGTTATCTTACATCCTAGTTTGGAGTTATCCCGGCGGTCATTAACACTGAAGGGTACCATGGCTATATGGTCATGTCAAACCAGGGGGGAGAGAAGGAAGAAGAACGGGGAAGGGGGGAAAAAAGGGGAGAGGGAGCCAATGTATGGAGAACCTTCTCTATGACTCAACGGGGCTAGAAACCTGGTAGGATCTAGTACAGGGGGCTATAAAAAGGACTTGAAACTAAGAGTTTCATTTAGTCCGGGAGGTTGTGTGGCCCGTAGTCTATAAATCCATTGAGTCTCCCTTTGGAGTATCCTTTTGTCCCAATCCCCCCCTCGTGCATCCTCCACTATGCATTCCAAGCCAAAGAATGATAGAAAAGTTGGATCAAAATTATGATAAAGTCCTACATGATGGCTTATTGGGGTTGTCCTTTTGCCATTAAACGATAAGTATACATGATCTTGGATCCATTTATAGAAGGGTCTGATTGTTTTTCCAACATAAAAAGCATTGCATTGGCATGTCATAAGATATATCACCCCCCTGATCTGACAGTCGATGTAGCTTTTGGGGTGCCATAGTTGGCCGTTTGGAAGTCTGATCGATCTACCCTGCTTGATGTGTTTGCAGAAGTTGCAGTGTTCACAACTGTAAGTTCCTGTGCGGGTTTTCTCTTCTTTTTTAACTCTATCCTCTCGGTGATGGCTATGTACCTATTGGTTCCGCAGGGACCTTGGACGTCGGTAGACAATTTCTGGTCTTGCTTTGATGTATTTGGAGACTATAGGGTGCTGTGATAATAAATGCCAGTATTTGCCTATTATTTGTTTTACTTGGTCACACTGTTGGGAGTACCGGGTAATTAGTTTGACAGTTGATGGTTGTTGGTTTCTGCCCTGTTTGGTGTTGGAAGTGTACATTCATTTCTCTCGGGTTTGTAATTTCGCTCGTTGGTAAGCTTTTTTTAGGGTCTGTCTACTATATTCCCTTAGGAGTAAGCGGTCTCTTAGCTTAGATGCCTCTTCCTCAAAGAGGTAGTCTATGGAGCAGATCCGTCTAAGCCATAGATACTGGCGATAAGGAATGCTTTGTTTAAGCGGGACCGGGTGTGCACTGGTTGCGTGAAAGATGGTATTACCCGCTGATTCCTTCCTGAAGAGGCCTGTATAAATAGAGCCACCTCCTCTACTCCTACCTTAACGTCCAAAAAAGGGATAAATCTTTGATGACATTGCATAGTGAATTTTAAATTAAAGTTATTTTGTTGTAGATGTGTCATAAATATCTCCAATTCCTCCCTTGAGCCCATCCAAATCATGAAGACGTCATCTATACACCTTAGCCATATGAGGATATATTCCGAGTACCCATGAGCATCCAAGCAGTGGAACAGTTCACGTTCCCACCCCCCCCAGATACAGGTTGGCGTAGGATGGAGCACAGCAAGTGCCCATCGCTACCCCCTGCATCTGGAGGTAGTGGGAACCATTGAAGGTGAAGACGTTATGTGTCAGAATGAACAACAAAAGGTCCAATATAAAGGCATTGTATGCAGTAGATGAATTGGTTCTTTCATCTAGGAACTGTCCAACAGCTTCAATACCTCTCATATGGTGAATGCTGCTGTACAGTGCCTCCACATCAATAGTCACCAACCAGGAGTCAGGTGGAATCATGATTCCGTTGATGTTTTTCAAGAGATCAGATGTGTCCTTTAAATAGGACGGTAAAGAGATCACATGGGGCCTGAGATATTCGTCTAACATGCGGCTAGCTAGCTCGGTAAGGCTACCCACCCCTGAGATAATTGGTCTGAGATAATTGGTCTATAATGGGGTCTGTTAAACTTTTATGGGTCTTAGGGAGACAGTAAAATGTAGGCATGCGAGGAAATTTTACATCCAAGTATTCATATGTTTGTTTGTTGATTAAATCTCTGCAATATGCATGATAGATTATTGTTTTGTACTCCGCATGATACGTTTTTACTGTTTCCTCATTAATTTCTGAGTACCATTCTGGATTGGAGAGAATTTTATAGCACATGGATTCATATTGGGTTCTATTTAGCACCACTACGTTGCCCCCTTTGTCCGATGGCTTTATCACAATATCCCCCATGGTGGATAGATCATCTAGAGCTTCCCTCAATGGCTTGGGTAGATTTGTTATTGGGGAGGAATTGGACAGCGCTTCAATGTCTTTAATGGCACTCTGAAGAAAAGCCCAAATGTGTGGGTTAGACTGTATTACTGGGAATTTGGTTGATTTCTTTTTAAAGATAAGGGATTTGTCTGATATTTCTCCCCTAGACTGGCAGGTGTAGCATCATCTATACTCCCCTCCTCCAACAGTTGCATGAGGTCCCTAAGGGCCCTGAAATCCTGCATGGTGTATCCTTCCCATCTAGACTGCTCCATTCTTAGTTGATTACCACTCATGGTGTTTCTATCGTACATAACTTTAAATAATAAATTTCTTGCAAACATGTGTAGATCCTTAATTACCTTTTATAGCTTGTGTATGTTGAGTAGGTAAAATAGAATTCGCAATTTGCTGAGACATGTGCAAATATTTCCCATAATGCAGCAATCCAGAATCCAGTCATTGTAACATCCTGTCTGTAGCATTCAACTTGGTGCAGAATCAAGAGCAGCTTACAGTGTATACACCCAGCTCTAATACTTGTAATCTTGGCTGGTTCCACAATCTCTGTTTCACATTGTTATATTATAAGTAGGGTATACAATGATCACTGTTCAGCTAAATTTTAATTAATAATGAAGACATACACAAGTACGAGCTTTTTATGACCAAAAAAATAATAAGCACAACCACAGATAAGTTGTCTATAAAGACAGGTGAACCTACTAAAAATACATTTATGTAAGATTTTTTAAGACAATTTCAGATGACACAATAAGAAAACCCAAAAATAACATAGTGAGCTAACACATGCCATAATTCATAGCAAATTTAATGAGGACATCACTTTATTCTTTATAATTATTTGTCATAACTTTGGCCTAAACTAAAACCTTCTTTTATAGGTAGAAAAAGAAACCCACAATAATTTGGTTTTCATAGTTTGCACATTGGAAGGTGTGTAGCTGTTTTCTGAGAACGAGGCATGAAATGCTCTGCCAGCAAATTAAGCTAATAAAAATACAATGATAGGGTATTTTTTCATTGCAAAGTACTGCCAAACCCATTTCTCAAAATATAAAAGGAGAGAGTGTCTATCTCAGAACCATCTTCTTGAATTTGTGCTGCATTCAGCCATCCCAGTACTTCATCCCACCATGTCTTTCCAAACCAACCACAGTGGTGCCAGCTACAGAAATTTTAGCACTTCTTCATTGCCAAGAAATGTAAGTAGGCAAAGCGTTTGCTCTTCAAGGCTTGTCAGCGGAGGTTCAAGAATACAACCACATTACAGCAGAAGTGCTTACAATGTTGGTTCTGGAAGAGCTCAGAAGATTTCAGTTGCAACTCACAACACTGGAATGAGCGGATATGGTGGTGCTGGTTTTGGCGCTGGTTTTGGATCTGGTATGGGATCTGGAGGTCGCTTTGGTGGTTCCAGCTTTGGTCAAGGTGGCTTTGGAGGTGCTGGCTTTGGAAGTGTTGGCTTTGGTGGAGCTGGTTTTTGTGGAGCACATGGAGGAATCACAAATGTTACTGTTAATGAAAGCCTCCTGGCACCCCTCAATTTGGAAATTGATCCCAATATTCAGCGAATGAGGAAAGAAGAGAAAGAACAAATAAAAACCCTGAACAACAAATTTGCTTCTTTCATTGACAAGGTATGGTATATTGAGTTCATGGTTATCAATGTGTCAAAATTTACTATGTACTTATGTGATAAATGGTGGCACAGATTATTAACATAATGAAACATTATACATTTTAAGTATTTCTTATGTAATTGTGTTTTTTTTTTGTTTAGTATACTTTTTAATAGCCATATTTCTAAGCTTTGCTAAACAGATGGTCCAATGTTTTTGTTTGAATCCCATAGGTTAGATTCTTAGAACAGCAGAATAAGATGCTGGAGACAAAATGGGCTTTCCTGCAAAACCAAAAGACAGTGAAAAGTAACATTGAACCACTTTTTGAATCCTACATTAACAATTTTAGAAGGCAACTGGACTGTTTGGACAATGAAAAGTCACGTTTGGAAGGAGAGAAAAAGAACATGGAGGATTTAGTAGAGGAATTTAAAAGAAAGTATGATGATCTACTTACAAAATGATAATCGTGATGTAAGACATCAGAACATAATTCACAATGGTTTGTGTTTACTTTTATTTCTAGATATGAAGATGAACTTCGTAAGCGTACAGCTGCAGAAAATGAATTTGTGGTACTTAAAAAGGTAAGAGTCATTTTCATTCTTTAGACATGTAACCCATGTACTTCAAAAAATGTGTTGCTGAACTGTGGTCACCAATGTTTATTATTGACAGGATGTTGATGCAGCTTTTATGAACAAGACTGAACTGCAGGCAAAGGCTGACTCTCTCAATGATGAACTCGACTTCTTAAGGACAGTGTATGATATGGTAAGTAACAACTTCAGTACAGAATGTGAGGAAAGTTTTATTTCCTTAAAACACATTTTCAACCTTTCTCAATATGAGAGCCGCATTTAAAGTGGACTAGACCTATGGACGCTGTGCCCAAAAAGGCACACTTTTACCCATTATTTATTTACTGTGCCTTGTTATGCCTCTGTATGGAGGAAGTTGTCTTAGTAGAGGAGTGGGGCTTTGACTCCTCATGTCAGAGCTTTCCACAGATGACTGGTGGTCTGATAACTGATGGTGAAATATTCAAGAAGCAGTAAGAGAGATGTGGTAGCATAGATTGACTAAATAAATGAAGCAGAAGCAGCGAGATGCAGGCCCTGCAGTTTCTCAGGTATGGCAGTTTTCTCTCCAGCAAGTAGCACAGTAGTAAGATTGCCCAATATCAATCCATATTTCGTTAGACTAGTGGTCAGAGGCAGCAGTACCTCTCATGCAGCAAATATTCAACTTTCATGCTTAAGCCACATGATACCTAGACATAGAAAAAGCACTGCTATTTTTAAAACAAAAGGTACATTTTTGAGTTCTTGTCCACTTTAAATATATTTTTGTATAGGAAATAGTGTTTTAAAACTGGTTAATAATAATTGTGTCTTGACATTTTGACTATAGTCAAGGGTATAC